CCATAAAGTAAATAAATTATCAATAGGAAAATATCGACGAAAATAATGAAATTCTTTTTCTTGTTTTATATGATCTGTAAGAATTAAATCTAAATTTTCAGAAATAAAAATATTACGTGAATGACGAAAAAATATTCTATATATAAGATAAATTGTATCAAGTATTGTTATTATTAATAATATTCCAAACCATATCCATAATATAAAATACATTTTTTCAATAAATATATTTATAACAAGTATACATTCAACTGTATATTGATGACGTTCGCCTAATTCACGTACTTGAAAATCACATAATGTTATACGTGGAAATAATTTGCTTTCTGGTAATGAAAAATCAAAAAGTAATTTTTTAAATACATTAAAACCATATTCAATATAATTTATATCATGATAACTAAGAAAATATTGAAGAAATATGATTTGAAAGATTAAATTAAATATATAAAGAATTTTAATGAATATATAAAAATAAGCTAAAGATGAACCTGTACGAGCTTGACAAAATAAACGACATTGATGATTAAAATATTCAAAATTTGATAAAGTTTTACGATTAGGAGGATTTACATATTCTTCATATCGTTGAAGACAATCCGAAATATAATTTATAACTATTAAAATGAATAGAAAACAAAAAAAAAACATAGATTTTTTAATATGTAAATAACTATATAATTTGAGACATACCTTTGATTTGATCTTCATCAACATCAGATGATTCATATCTATGTGATATATTAACAAGATTTCCAATTGATAAACCTATTTTATCATTAAATGATTGCCATATAATACGTGGTAAACTAAAAAATAATGCTTGAAGTAGAAGAACAAAATGAATCCATTGATAATATTTTAATGTTCGTTCACGTCGTACATTAGAATCTTGAGGAATTATTTGATTTTTTGCTATATGATATGTATTTTGAATATAACATAATAGATCCGTATATTCTTCATAAGTATCAGTAAACTGAGCTGGAACCCAACATTTTATTGGAGAACCTATTATCATATATAATAATAATAATTATTATTATTATTTCTTTTTTTCTGTAATTTAATTATTAATTTTTTTTTGTCTTACCAATATATTGATATGTCAAAATAGCAGTACAAAAACAAACTAATACCGCAACAGTATATCGATTATGAAGACGATCTACGAGAAGATCATCATAATTATTTCTATTTTTTCTTTTTCCACCAAATCTTTTTGCATTGTTTATAACTGTAGTAAAGTCCATTATATGTAATAATCTATTTGGAAAAAAAAACATCATAATTATATTTAAACGAGTTGTCTATATTACACTTGCCAGTGAAGGTCATAACAATGATGGATTTGATTTACATGTAATCGAACAATATAGAATAAATATGTAAAATGTGATCCAATAGTCTGATACGAACACAAATAGTACAAAATGGTCACCGTTTTTGCTTGCACAAGAAAGAAACGAAAAAGAATCCCTACATAAATGCAAGATAAAAAAAAAACGAACGTAAAAGAACAAAGAACCTCGCCAGACAAATACTATTTTGATGAATGGTAAGATATAAAGAGATCTATATGTATACAATACATTTTACACTCTTCTGTTTGCAATAATTAAAGGAACAAATGAAGTGTATTTTCAATGATTACAATTCATTTTATCAAGACTTTATTTCTATAAACCTGTACGTAAGTTAATTGATCAAATAAAAAAAAAAATCTAGTTATAATTTAGTATTTAGTCATACTTTCTTTATAGATAGACGAATTTCAAAAAGAGATTATTCTATTATTATTTTTTTTGTTCGTATAAAATATTTTCAATATTATTTTAAGTTTTTATCAAAAGTATCGAAATGAACTTGTTGTTTCTATATGATTCTTTTCTTATTCTTGCTTCATATTCAAACAAATGATTATTTAAAAGTATCAGTTTATATATCTTTCAATTTTCATATACATATTAATCTAAAGCGAAAGTAACTATTATCTGACGTCAACTTCTCTTATTAAGTATAGAATCAACATGTTCTAAACAATTTCTATAGATTATACACGCTCACTTGTATACAATGCCGAGTGCAATCAAACGAAAGATTGATTATGTAAAATATGTATAAGAAAAGTCATGATTGGAATATATTTACATTTTAATAAATATTCTCCCTTGATAAAAAAAAAAAATCCTTCCAGACATATCCATTCTTGCTCTTTTTCTTTCTTGTGAGAAAATTTCATTGACTTTATCTATCTAACTCTCTTTCTAGAATTATTTTATTGATGATTCACAACATATAATCAAATCACTATATCAATTTAGGAAAATAGATAATGGTTAATTTATATTTTGAGTTAAGATGACAAAATAGAAAACGCAACAACAAATACTTGCTGCAACTTTTTTTGACAATAGTCATTCGGCTAATTATATGTATAGATTTAATGAACAATTATACATTGATTTAAGACATTCTCCAACAATAGCTGATCACGGAATGTAAAAATTAATTCATATCAATTGATTTTAGTTTGGATATTCGGTATTATTTGTGATGAGACATATTATGTATATATTGCTGTAATTATCAAATATATGTTAAGTAATTAAAGATTATATTTCTGACTCTTTTCAATTAATTGTCGATGTCCAATGACATTTTTCGTTACAATTATTGCAAAAAATAAATGATGAACAATTGTCAATTGAAAGTGTACAATAAAAAGTCGACACATATGTATTTGAAGAAAGTTTTTTACAAAACTTTTCTTCCATTATAGCTGGTATAGCTTTCAGGATTGTGATTAAAAATATGCGGGACCAATTTTAGTTTCTGTATCGAAACCGGAACAAAAAAAAAACATGATTCCTCAAATCTCTAGTCATAATACAACTTCAACTATTCTTAATTTTGCTTTATTGATTTATAATTGTACTTCATCAAGATATTCAATAGCGTTTATTCGGAGAAATGCAAAGCATCTTTAGTTAATTTTTTGATTGATTGTTGTGAAATATATCATTTGATTTTTAGAAGATGCCAAACAAATGGATTATCTTGAATGTGCTATCATTTATTCTCATAGTCCGACGAAAAATTCAAGGAACTTTTCAATATGATTAAGTTTTGTTTCATTTGCTTCCTTTTCAATCATTGTCTGTGTAGATAATAGAACATTTTTGAAAGACACAACAATTTTTATTTTTATTCTTTGAAATTTATTCTAATTACATATATTCTATTTTCTACTGATCTATACAATTGTATTGGTATTCCCTAATAATCAAAATCTATACGAGATGATAGAAATATGAGACCAGTATTTGAATGATTAATTACATCGTTTGAATCATTGAATCATTTTACCTGAAATAAATGATCAATAGATTATATGAAGATACAGTATAGCTGTTGATTGGCATATGCAGTTCTTCAGAACCCGAAAATAAAAGTTTCTCATGATTATACATAATGACAGAGTATTTCTTTACAAAATGATACGTCTCGGATGGACACTCATTTCGTCCCATTACTTTTCGTCCCCTTACACTACGTCCCATTCATTTTGTCCCTCACTCATTTCGTCCCAAATTCATTTTGTCCCACACACTTCGTCCTAAACTCGATTGCCCGATACACTATGTCCCTCTATGGTTCGTTCCTACTTCTTCTTCGATNAACTCAATTCCTGTGATTTCTAAAGATATTATATCACTCAGTGGTCACCGGATAGGGTCGCATACAGTATGGTCCATGCTAACTTAGCACGTCTGTGTTTTCTCCTTGCAATTTAGTGATAAAAAACACAGTGAATATGCCTTTTCACTTTTTGAAGTACACATAACACTCGGATTTAAATCCGAGGTTTTCGCATTTATTTTTCTTAATTTTAAGTAAATATTGGTTAAGTTAAGATACAAAATAATTCTCTACACTTTGTTCGAAATAAAAATATCAAAAAATTCGTAAGTTACAAATTAGAACTGTTGAAATGTATGTTTTCAGAAAAGTATTCATGAAGATGTCGTCAATCCATGGGGGTGCGGATGTGTTGATCTTATCTTCTTCCGCACCACGTCCTTACTGGTTTGTCTTTTGTTATGATAAAAGAACAATATTATCAAGCGTGAAACATAATGAACGTAGATCAAATTATTTATCCACAAACATTTTTATTTGTCTTAAATTCATTATTTCTCTAATAAATAAATTTCATTGAATTTAAATTCCATATCTTTTTATAGACTCAAGGAAAAGAAAAACCGATAGCATTACTGTCAACATTTTTACTCTTCGGCATTTCTACTGTCGACAAAAATTGAGATTATTATGAAATATATATATATTGATCAACAACTCATCAATCTTTCTCAACACATTAAGCTATAAATGAAAACCAGGTCAATTGAATTAGCATTCCCACATGTTATTTATTTGAGAAAAAGAAAAGAAAAATACTTGAACTAATGTTTGTTATTGAATACCAGTAATGAAAAATTAGCAAAAGAAATGATTGAAATCAATATAGATATTAAAAGATAAATAGATAACAGCACGAAAAGATACATGCAAATCGATGACAAAAAAAAATCAATTGATCTTTTGTTTTGGTTATATAAAACAAAGAAACAGAAGCTAAAGTTGACTTCTAATATGTAAGAAGAATCTTGTAGAAAAGAAAACATCATACAATCCTGAGTTCACTTTATACAAGAAAGAAAAAGAGAGAGAGAAAGAAATTAACTACTTGAATCTTTTCCATCTATTCACTAATTTGTTGCAAAATAAAATGAATAAAGCAATGAATGAATTAATGCTGTAAATATTTTTATCGTTATTTTTCATACAAAAAAAAAATCAGAAAAATCTAAGAAATTTTCATCACTTTTGTTCTCCTTTTGTTGCGTATATGAAATCACAGACGTGCAGCGCAATAAAAATGAATAAATGAACACAACAAAGGAATAGAACTAATATAAGAAAAAGTTTGTTTGTTTTTAACTTTGCCATTTAATATGTCCATATGCTTGAAGGCCTGATAATGTTAAATAACCAACCCAAAGAAGTACGAAAAAGATAGAACATATATATTTAGGTATTGTTGGTCCACCTATAAAACAAATAAATAAGAAAAATAAAATCTTTTTTTTTTTTTGTTTTTGCTTTTTACCTAATTCTGCTTTGCCAAAAAATCCCAAATATCGACGAAGTATCAGTACGGTCATACAAATAATACAACAAACAGAAAACACGAGGACACTGAATGATAAATCGCCTGCTTTAACCGTAAATGGAAGATTCTTAAAAACAACATAATTGTATTTATTTCTTTTTTTTTCTATGATAAAATCTTTTAATTTTTTTTTTTCTTACTTTCGACTCCCAATAAATAGCAGCAACAAGCCAAGGTAGACCAAGACCAAGAAATACATTAACACTATTCGAACCTGTAACATTTCCAATAGCATCATCAGCTGTCCTAGATGTTTTTGCTGCAATCATTGATGCAAATGTATCAGGTAATGATGTACCAAGTGCAACAAATGATATAGCTGTTATACTATCTTTTAAACCAACAAGACAACCAAATATAGCCGCAACATCACCAACAATAGCCGTAAGTATAGCAATAAAAACAAGTGAAATAAAAAATGTTAACCAACCACCAGCTATTGATGTTGGTGGTACAAATGCAAAGAGAACTTTCCAAAAAAATGATAATGAATGACCAATATAACTACCAAATGTTGCATTTGCTAAATCACCACCATTAACATTCATAGCTTGATAAAATCTTTGTCCCCATGTTGTTTTTGTTACACTTAATTGATCAAGATCAATTTGAACAAGTGATGCTAATTTATTTGCTATTGTTTTATAATCTAAATAATAGATAAATATAAATATTAAAAAAAAAATATTATGTATTGTTTTATATTAAATAAACTTTACCATCATCATTTATAATTGTTATAACTGTTTTTCCATGTTTTCCTATTTGTGCACCACCTGTTGGATTATATAATTCAACAGCAAAACTTTCATCTTTTTCAACTTCAAGATCATTTATAATTGGTATAGATATAACTTTTGATATTTCGCCATGTTCAAATATTAATTCACTGTCAACACCTAAAGAAAACAAATAAAATAAACAATTGATTATTATTTGAAAATATATTGTCGTAGAAAATATAATATTAAAGAATATTTGATAGAAAACTATCAACAGATCACTTTTTCGTTCTAATAAAAGATTCAATAAAAAAAAATAATGAAAAAATGTATTCCAAAAATAAATAGAATATAACAATCTTCCTATAATAAGCAGCTTTTTTTCAAATATGTTTTATCCAGATCTTCTCTTTCACACGAGCAACTTAAAATCCTGAGACGTTCTCAATGAGTTCCAAAATAATAATATAATAACAAGTTTTTACAGAAAAATAATAAATTAAAATAAAAAGACAAACATCTTAAATAAGGACATTTACATTTAATAGTAAATCTTCGCAAAAGCTTAAAAAACAAAAAATTGTCTATTCAATTGTTTTTGGTCTAAACTAGTTCTTCTGTCAGTCAATGTAAATTCTAAAATATTAAATTGAAATATTTGTTGCTAGAATCGAATGAATTTGTTAATGTACTCTCGAATAATATATATATTCATTGAAAAATTCTATTTAATCTATTTTGATTGCTAAGTAGTGTCTATAATTTTGGGAAATTGTTTTTAATATATATAAATATATCAGGAAATTATGTTTTATTTTTACTCATAGTATTTATTCTAAAAATCGATATAATCACTTAACTTAAGTATCAGAATTCGTAATATTGGTTTTTTCTGTGTTAGATAGTAATCGGAAGTGAATTTATTCAGTATTAAAAGTAAAAAGTTCAATTCGACTGATAAATTCCGTATATTTCATGCTAAAATGAACTATAGAGTAGTGTTTTGTTTGCTTGTTGATAAAATTTTCTAAATGATAAATTCACTTTAGAAAAAAATTGATTGCTTTCCAAGAAACTATTTCAGATTCGGCAATTGAAATCGTAATCAATAAATATTCATAGTCTATTTTTACTTCAACATCTTACGGAAGAATTATCCAATTCAGTAGTTCGAAATGCGGACACCTATTGAATCTACAACATGTCTTAATGATGCAAGTAAAAATTTAAAAGTGTTCGTTTCTGTGGGGTTTTTAGCGCTAAGCTATGATTGTCTTACTGAATTATCAATTCAAAATTTTACTCATATATATGTATGTGAACTATTAGAATATTCTGAAAGTTTCAGTCGAAAAGGATATTTCTTCGTCGATTTATTGGACTTTCAGGCAAACTCGTCTTTTGCGATATGTAATTTTTTTATTTTGGAAATTCAATATCTTGACGAAGAAAAATTCTAAGAACTTTATTAGACATGTCTATAGATAAGATTTTAACTTGAAATTCTATGATTTGATATTTTGAGAGTAATCCACAAATGAATTGAAAACCCAATAAAAACCAATCATAACTCGATGTGTAAGGCCTACATTAACGAATGCTTTTAGAATTTTACTAGGTCCCATATGGGCTCAATTAAAAGTAGTACCGTGATTATCAAATAGATAGATGTTTAGAATAATATTTCGATGATCTGACAAACTCATATTTTACATATGTTTTATTTTTGTATAAATCATTCGTAGGAGATGTATTATATATAATTATCTTTTCAATTTGTTAAAATTCATTTGACTTACGTTCGTAATCTTTTGGTGCTTTAGCATCCATATCTTCTGTTCGATAATGAATAGTAACTCGTCCATCGGCACCATTAACACGTACAACTTTTATTTCTGCTTTTCCAACACTTTCTTTAACTAAAACAATTGCCTCTTCGAATTCAAGAAAACCAGGTTCTAAGGACAAAAAAAAAAACAATATATTTCGTTCTTTGTTTTTGGTTTATTAAACTTATTTACCATCGTCATTAATAATGGTAACAAGTGCAACGGTTTTTGAACCTAATTTTGTATGAGTTTCTTCACCATCTGGTATTGATAATTTAACAAAAAATGTTTCATCTGGTTCCCATTGATTATCATCAATAACATTAATCGTTATTTTTTTCTCTTGTTGACCAGGTTCCATTTTAAATTCTTCAGATAATTTAATATAATCTTCACCAGCTGTTGCTGTACCATCAATTGTATCAAGTCTAAAGATAAACAATATCAACATAAATATAACTATAAATAAATAAATATATATATATATATATGTCTTGACCAAGGAGAAGTTGTGCGTGTGAAAATTTGTTTATATGAAAAAGTGCTTTTGTCTATTTACAAAGTGCAACAGAAAGAGAGCTACAAGCATGCAAGTATTAAGCACTAAAATGCATACGTTTATATAAATTAGTTTTTAGTCTATTTCCTTTTTTTTTTAATACTTCTCGGAAAACTCAATGTTGGACATGAAGTTTTTCGGGTATTTAGAAAAAAAAATCATTTCAGATAACAAAGGGCAAACACTCACAAAAAAGACTAAACATTCATGGGACCTACCGAAAATGAACGACAGAATTAGCAAAACCGTATCTGACGACTTCAACAGTTACACGCTGTTCGCGTTCAAGTACAGCATAGCTGGATGAAGCAAACTCAAGTATAGCCATTTGTGGATCCTCATCAATATCAAGTCTTGATAATGCTCCTTTTCGACTCTCAGATTGATGGTCAGGCGAAATATTTCCATCAAATGGCTGCTGTTTGATAGCTCGTTGATATACCTAAACGAACCAGGCTAAGTTACGATTATTTCTGAACTATTAGATAATATTATTTAAATCAGTGAAGAAGAAGTAGAAGAAGAAGAAGAAGAAGAAGAAGATGTTAAGTTAGAAAAAGTTATATATATATATATATATATGTATACAGCGTATACTGTGCAATATTGAATTGCATCATGCCTAGGCATTTATCACTATATGTGTAGCTGAATGTAGACACCTGAATCGAGCATTGACATTAATCGGACCAGTTCGTTTAACTATAACATCAATTCTTTGTTCATTTTCCATAAGAGCATATGCCGTAGCAGTAAATTCAATTGTTGGTATTTGTTCAATTTCTTCTAATATTCGTGGTTTTTGTTCATTCTCGATTGAATTTTGTCGTTCCAATGTGTTATATATCTGTTATGATATTTATATGTATATATATGTTAATTAGTTTATAGAAATGAGTTAAGTTTAGAAAACAAAAAAACAAACAAAAGAAAAAAAAAAAAGTTCTTTTTTTTTTTTTGTTGTTTTTATTTACAAACCTCTTGAAGTTTCTCAGGTAAATTGATAAATAAAGATTTACCACCAGTAAGCATTCTTGCACCTTCTATTCGATATTGCATACGTGATCGAGGCATAGTTTCAGTTAATTTAGCTGCAAATAATTGTGCTTTATCTTCTAATGATAAACTTGAAGCTTGACCAAGATCCTATTTATTATTTCATAAAATAAAAAACATATTTCAGTTTGATATATGAACTAACTTACACGTAAAAATTGAAGAAGTTCATCTCGACGAAAATTACGTGGACTACCAGTTGCATCTACTTCAGGTGGTTCTAAATATAAAATATAAAATATATTTAATCAGTTTTGTGGTAAAAATATTTGACGAATTTATACTTAATATAAGTTTTTTTTCTTCTTCTTCCATGTCAATTTTTTTTGAAGCAAAAAAATTCTTTTCAGCCTAATAATACGCACGAGAAAAAAAATTGATTGAAATTTTCGTAGACTTTTTTTTTTATATGTATTTATTTACCAGATAAGCTAATATAACAACCAGCGGAAACATAAGAAATGTAATGACAGCTTCCCAAAGATCAACAACATCTTTTGATATAACTGATAAAACAATGAACATCCATATGTATGCAAAGAAACCAAAAAATGATGTGACCTATTTTTATTCGTAATATTTGTTATTTTCCGATGGAAAAAAAAAAAAAAATAAATAAATAATATTTACCATAAAAACATTATATAATTCTATCCTTCTTGTATCAGGAGCTTTTATTGATGCGATACATAAAGCAGAGATCATTAAAAGATTGTAAGCAGCAGAACCGACAACTAAAATCATGATATTATTCATAGATATTTATATATAAGACAGAGATAGACAATGTGATTTTTATTTAAACTTAGAAATATTTCATTTTTCTGTACAATATAACATTATCATCTTTAAAAGGTTAATTTATGAGAAAATATAGTTTTCATTCAATTGGGAATTATAGAACCTTGACATTAATGAAGAGTGACTTTCTTTTTTGGAATCCCAAAGAGATAAATGGGAAAGTGTTTTTTACCAATCAATAGAATGACAGATGGAGCTTGAGCTAATATATAATTTTCTCGTTAGTTTTTTTTTTTTTTCTTTCCAGTAGAAATGACTCGTAATCCTTGCACTAGCGGCGTTTTTTGACGATGTTTTCTCAATAATGCTAATAAGAGAAATAAAGATTCATGTTGTTAAATAAATCATATGTCAGAACATTTGTTACTCTATTCATGTCATAAAAAAAGACTCCTTCCCTTTTTCATTCATTGTCTACTTTGGATGGTCACAATGAGATACGCGACAAGTAATATTTTATATCACACATCTCATTACTAGAGTAGATGATCAACCTTCGTAAAAGTCTATGTCTGATCTAATTAATTAATTAAAAAACTTTAATCAATTTTTTTGAAAAATAAATTAATCATTGGTGAAATATTGTCCTGTTTTTTTGCTCTATATTTTAAATTGCATAGAAAAATATTAATTAACTGATTCATAATTAATTAAAATTGAATCTTGATAGAGAAATATTCAAAAGTTAAAGATGTACTTAGATACTTTATCAGATTATATTCTTATATTCCGAAACGGATGAGGAAGAGAAGGTAAGAATGAGTATCATATTTTTCTAATTTCTATTTATTACATTCAATGTTAACAGGTTTTTTTTTTTGTAGTATAAATGTTTTTCATAATTTAAAAGTATTAAAAATGATTAACGATAATATGTCTTCTATTTTTATTTAATGTTAATATGACCTTTTCTGCAGATGTTTACAAAATAAGAAGTAAATAATTAGTATAGACATCTTTTTGTCGTAATAAATATAGATGTCAAGCCGATTTAAAAAAAAAACAGAATGAATAATAATATTATCACCATGTCATCTAGCTATCCATACAAAAAACATCTAAAAATTCTTATGACATTTTTCATTTATAAAATAAAAATTATATGTTTTATATTGTTTAAGAAAAGAAAAAAAAAGAAGAAAAATGAATGAAAATATATCTTACTCGTTCCAGGTCCAAGTTCGCCTGCTTCAAAACGATTTCCAACAATTTCAATAATTGATAAAAGAATTTCTGGTGAACTTGAACCAAGTGCCATTAATGTTAAATTAGCAACTGTAGCATTCCATATTGGAACTTCAATAGTTAAATATTTATCTTTATGTTCTGGATTTGGATATTTTATTTTTTGTTTTCTTTCTGTTATTGTTTGAATTGCTGACATAAATACATCAGCAATAATAGCAATACCAAGGAAAAGATAAAGTAAAAATAGAAAATAAAGCACTGCTCGCAACTGTATTGACATACATGCTTCAATACCTATTTTATTAAAAAAAAAAAAAAATAGACAAAAATAATTTAATCCAATTAAGAGAAAATTCAATTATTTACCGAACGGTAATATAAGACCACGACCGGAGCATTTGAATCTTTGACAACTAACAGTAGTTAAATTAGCGAATTCAATAGACATTTTGCATATAAGTTGCGTGCAAATGTTCACATGTCAGTTAAACGAAGAAAATGCACTAAAACCACAATAAACTCGCGTCAGATTGTTCTCCTTTCTTCTTCTTCTTTCTCTTTCTTATTTTTTTTCTCTGATCGTTTCTTTTGTCAAAATGTGTACATATATTCTCGAACAAGAAAAGAAGAGAAAGGAGCACGAAAGCCAACCTTATTTTGTTTTCTTTCTTATTTCAAAATTAATATTGTTTATTAAAAAAAGAGAAAAAAATTCATTCAATTAATAAAACAAATATTCTATGCTTAGATGTTGTCAATCTTCAAAACAACACATTCACTCTTTTTCTATTCTATTCTCATTTAGTTTTTACTAAAATAATAAGCATACAAGCAGTAATAAACTTCTTATAGTCCAATCATATAGAACGTATAATGATTTCAGGAGACAAGCTGACAGACGGTAGAAAGAGAAAGAGCAAGTCAAGTTTTGTTAATATTACTCGCTATAATTCATTTTTTTTTATTGTTGTCATTGTCGACAACAGCGAGTCTTCATTTTTCTTCTTTTCCTTTTTTTTTTAAAACATGTGTGCACCTTTACCTTATTTATATATATATCTATATATATATGTCTATGTGCTCTTTCAGAAAGCTATGTTGTGAATAGATATCGACAAACAAAAGGAAGAGCTATTAACCAAGATTTTATCATAGTGATTAATAATAAGATAAATAGACTATAGTTTTTTTTCATGTAAAAGGATTTTGTTTTTCTTTTTATATTAAAAAAACGATTGTCAAGAATAAATAACACACTGCGAAAAAAAAAATGATTTCTTCCAGAATCGTTACTGGAAAATAATCTATTCATACTCAAGGGAAATTTCCTAGATTGGTTTTTTTTAATCCTTTCTTATTATAAATAGATGCTTATTAAAAAAAAATAACATTTGAGACTAGTATTATTTTTACAAGCCGATATAGAATGTTACGATAAGAATTTGATTGATAATAGTACTACCTTATTACAAAAAAAAAAAAAAAAAAAAAACTACTTTACCGGAAGTCTAAGGATGTATGCTAAATTGTAGGTAGTAATAATATTGCCTACTAATTGTAAACTTGTCTAATAGTAAAAGAATGAAAGATTCATTGAATAGAGTAATATGTAGCAATTTATGACAAAGCAAGTTAACTACCAAATAGCAAGAGCTTACGAGAAGCTGTCCGCGCGAAGAGTGAATAATCAAGCATAAATTACAGATAAAACGGGCATATAAGCCAAAATAGTTTTTTCTCGTTCTCTTTTCAACAGCGCGAATGCGCCGACAATGTCGAGTAGTAATGTGTAATGTTTCTCCTTCGTTCTTTCTCTTTCTCTTTCTCTCTCCCCTACTCTCGTCTATTTGCTTTCTACGGATAATAGAAATATGCAGTACCACAAAATTATGATGAAACATACGAGAATAAAAGAAGAAAAAAAAAATGTGTACTCTTCTTTCTGCCATTATACAGAAACAGCAGGAGAAATATGAGCTATAGATTCTAATCAATGTATTTATATTCGTATCAAAGGTTTAGTCAAAAACTGTGTTGCATATCAAAGCTAAAAAACATACGACAAAAGAAAAAAAAAAATAGCAATTTTTACGGGTAACCCACGCACATATATTCGATTTGCTTCATTGAATGGCCTTATTAATTATCAAACAACATGACAACACCATAAATAGCGATATATATATTCTTTTTTTTTTCTACTTCTCTTTACTTATGCTAAAATCTAATTATTTTCGATCGAACGCGACGTATGAAATTTTAATGATTAAGTAATCGATGATGTAAAAAAGAAAACCTCCACAAACACAATTTAACATTTGCAAATCTATTGATTATATGATGATACTTATATTTTTAAGATGTGATTCAATTGTCGAGAAAAAAGAAGAAAGAAAAAAAAAACTATTTTTTTTTCGGACCTTTTTTTTTTTTTTCTTATTCAAATATGAATGTATAACCAAGTGCTTCATATTTAATATGGTCATAAAAAACCAAAAAAAAAAAAATATTCTATGTATTGCATGCTCCGTTAATATCCAACATATGTGTCTATTCTCAGTATATGTTGATGCAGAAAAAGCACTGATGATATATACTACCAGCAGACATTCTTCAACGGAATGAGCAAACGACTACTACAGAAGTAGTGTTGCAGAACATCAATCTAACCAGAAAACAAAAAAAAAGTTAATGAATATTAGAAAATTTTTTTTTTCCATGTGTTTTTTTGACTTTTTTCTTGCTTTTATAAAGAATCATTTGATGTTTGTCCTATGCGCATAGTATGATTAAAAAAAAAGTAACTTGTGATTGTAATGAACAAGAGAAAGAATAAGACATTTGGTTAAGTGCATATGAGAAATATATTGATGAAGTAATTCATATTCATACATAACGTTTACTAATGTGAGTTTATTCGTTCGCTCTTTCGTTCGGTCATATTTATTGAGAGAGGACAAAAGAATTGCTATAAATAATCAACGAAAAATTTTTTATCGTTGTACCAGTTCATGACATCGCACATACATATACATACAAACGTTCAAGAATATTTCGTACATGTTGTCGTTGTATGTGACAACGATTGTCATTTATTATTTTACTTTTTTCTATATGATTAAAAGTGATGAACAAAAAATTATTGTACCGTGTTTTACACAAAATATTAACGTTGAAATCAATGAATTTGATGATCGTATATCAATGAAATATATTAATTGTACACGACAATTAAAGAAACATGTATTTACAATTACATTTGAAATACAACGACAATTGAAAAAAATTGATCATATGTTTGAATCAAATATGGTTGTTACACTTTTTGCTGGTCCTTGTTCATCAAGTACAGCAACATTAAATATTGGTCGAACATTTCCATCAATTCATGGAACTTTAGATGGTAGTGATCCATCACCAATAGCTTCAAGTCATTTACCATGGAATGGACAATCACAAAAAGGAACAATATCATATGAATATGGTGGACATGGAGGAGATTTTGCACAACTTATATCAGCTCTTATTCACGTTGTTATTCGGCATGGAAGAGAAGAAATGATTAAAGGCATATACATCGTAAAATTTAATAATTAGAATATAAGAATATGCATATTCTGCTATTGATAAAAAAAACTACTTGTAATAGGTTGAGTGGCTCTAGATAAAAAAAAAACCGAATTTCCTGAAGGGTATAAATTTCCGTTTATACGGTCTATTCAAAGAATAAATGCAGTTGATTTCCTTTGACCTATTCATTCATGTCATACATAAACATAATTAGAATTTTAGAAATGTTTTTTTTTGGTTTTCTGTGCATACCCAAAAAAAAAAATAATCAACTAAAATTAAAAATAAAGCCAAAAATTGATTTATTCAATCTAAATTTTCTAAATCCTCATTAATTGAAATTTAGGATACAGGTGCAAGGATTTTTCAAGAAGCAAATAGTTACTAATGAAGTAATATGATACCAATATAATCTCTATTTTTCGTCAAGTATGACAAAGTATGATATGCAAAAAACGAAAAACAAGTTATATCATAGGATTAATATTTATCTGCAATATTAAGATGAATAAATAGTCACGTCGACAACTGGTTTGAAACTAGTACTCATCGATCATGCGGCATAGTTATCATATCATTCTGATTGCTTTTATTGTCTCACCAACAATAAATGCATTTCTATTCGACAAAGAAGGTCTTATTCTTGTACCATCAGTGGCTTTCCGAGATCATTCAACACCAGAAAAATCACCAGCTGATTGGAATTTACATAATCAAGGATGGTATTATGAAGAAAATCCAATTCAAGCATTTTTAATGGAAAAATCTTTAGAACTTATTGTTCAAAAAGACTTAGATCGAAATCGTGTTAAAATGTTCACTGCTGAAGGTAAAGAAAAAAAAGATTTATGCATTGATGGTCTTAGTCGATCGATGTGTGCTAAAACGGATGACGAAGGACGTCTTAAAAATACATTTAAAATGACAAATCAAGAAATTGAATTATTTCGTCAAACTGGTGGTGGTAATGGTAAAGTCGTATTTCAAGCATCAGTACGTAATAAAAATGTAAAAGGAACAGGTGAAATATTCTTATGTGATGATCATGGTGTTACATTTATAAGTGATATTGATGATACAATTAAAATAACTGAAGTAACATCTTCAACACAAACACTTATTAATACATTTAGTGGTGATTTTAAAGCTGTTGAAGGAATGTCAGAAATATATCGTCATTGGCAACAAGAATATAATGCAACATTTGCATATTTAACAGCATCATCTGATCAATTATATCCATTTTTAAGAGAATTTTTTGATCGTGAAGGATTTCCAACTGGTTCAGCACATATGAGACATTTTACTTGGCTTGATAGTAATTATATTACATTTTTTATGTCATCAAGTTATATGAAAAAGAAAACTGAAACATTAGAAATGTTTTTACAAAATACACGTGATCGTACATTTGTATTACTTGGTGATGTTTTTCAAAAAGATCCAGATATATATGCAAGTGTTTATGCTCAATATCCTGATCGTATTGCGAAAATTTTTATTCGTAAATATGATAATGATGTTGTTGGACAAGAACGACTTGAAACAGTATTTAAAGATATACCACGTCATAAATGGGCAACATTTGAAAAAGGTTCTGATTTATCACGAAATGTTTTTTGAGTGTTAAGAAAAATTTTTTTCGAATTGAAATAAAGAAAAAAAAATTCATACATATTATTCTGTTGGATAGACGTTTGTAAGAAGCAATTGCTCTTATATATATATATATATATGTTAGTGTCTAATCTCATATTCGCCTAGGTCAAAATAGAGCTCTATGTTCAACGGACATAAATTCAGTTATAAAACGATCTATCTAAAGAATCTTACAGTGATCTAGGTCAGTAGCGAATTCGGTCAATCTCGGATCTGTCCAGGCCAACCTTCAGTATGCCTAGGCCAATATTGAATCTAGTAACATATTACATTAAAGCTAAAGTTAATCATGGCATGTGAAACTTTCTTTTCAGCAAATAACAAAAAAAAGGAATTAACGAAGAGTATGGATGAGGCATGTCCTTGTTCTCTTCACCCTACATCCGTAGTAGAGATATAAATAAACTGTTTTACTTTTTTCCAGTTTGTTTTAGCTTAAATCGCGATTTAATAACATTCACATGTTTTCTATTCTAGTTTTTATTCGATATATTCTTTGAATTAAACTAAAATCTTCACATAGAATACAATATACATAGTTGCTGATTTGATATTGACCTGGGAAAATTTAAGATATATAATGGACATCACTTCAAGTGATATACAATTCTATCGTGTTAATTTTAACAACTAAACATTAATCAACAGACTAATATACTTGAGACATTCATAAATCTGCTGAACTAATAGATGTTTCGAAATACATGGGCTTCTGAATATTTATCATTTTTCATCCTGTTTGCTGTTCAACATGCAAGATACAAACAAATTTAATCATCTACTCAAATGTTCTTAAAAAGCTCTCCGTGAATATTGAATCAAATTTCATTTGCATGCTTTGATTAACTTACAATTAAGCATTTTCTTCTGTAGACATTTCGATAAAAAAAAATTAATATTGCTTGTTTGCTACACCTACACAATGATCTAATTATAACATTTAAGTTTTGCAAAAAAAAATGTGTAAGATGAGAATACCAATTTCAACGATTTTACGTCGTTCTATAAGATTATTTGACATGTAAGTATCGCTATGCTTTTCAAATAACCTTACCCAAATATGAAAAGAAAAAATACGCTTGAAAACTGAGACGAATATAACTAGGGACATATCTTATCAGACATAAAAGAAAAAAGGACAAGCTATTGCAAAAAATTACGGTTACAAAATCCGTTATTACGATGCTGTGTAGCCGTCAGTATAGACTGTTAGTTTTTATACTGAAACATTTTATACGAATTTATAAAAGCTTCAAGTCGAAGTAATGAATATTAGCAGAGAAATTGATGAAATACTATCCGGTCCATTAAATAAAGAACATTTGTAATATGAATAGTGTTATTATTTAATGGAGATTGAATTGAAAGTGTCTATAGTTGGATATAAAAAATAATTTCTATATTATTATCAAGATTTTTGAATTATGTAATATTTCTAATGGTCACAGATAGAAACAAACAGCAGATTTATTTATACTGGTCCGTTATTAGTCGTGAAGAACTTTTACACTGTATGATGTTACCAAATTGTACAAATATTTTAGTGTAAAATTGAATATTTATCTAACTATAAGACGTTATTTGGAATTTGTATTAAAAATTTACAATTGAAGACAAAGATTTTTTATTCTTATTAACTTAAAAATCGATTGTTCAATCTTAAGTCTAACGACAATCCATTCTTTATACTATGCCATTATATTCAAATATTGTACAGCTGTCGTGACAACGTTGTTCGGTATGTTATTCAATAGGTACTGTGATGAAACCTTAGTACTACCAGCTGCGAAATGGTCGTGGACGAGTCACTGGCGGTCGTTTGTCTCTAATCACACACCTGATAGCATTTTGAGAAACGAGAGAGCGTGGTTGTGAGTGGGAATAAAACGACACAAACAAGTATATCCACATTCACACTCTGCATCACGTCGACCTTCTATCCAGAGCTACAAGGCAGCAACGTAGCTGAAAGACAAGGTTATTCTTCCTTGCAAAACTTGTGCAAGTAGATTTCAAATCATTCTTTTCCATACATTCTTTAAATAAGAAAATTCATTATGATTAATTAAAAAAACCTTCTTGTTTACACAAATAGAATAATTAATCATAAACACCTACTGTTGATGAAGTTAATCGAGGAAAATTATGTTCATCATTTGGAATATTAGATGATGGATGTGTAAAATTTTTTGCTGTTGTAGGACTTGTTGCTCGTGATGTTGATGATAATGGAACAGTTGCATTATCATTTGTTATTACATTAGATTAGATGAATATATTCTTTCAGATCCATCTTATTTAATAAGGAAAAAAAGAAAAAAGAAAACAATTGATAATATTATAAAATGATTTATTTTTACCAAAAGAACTTTGTGTTTCATTTGTTGTTACTATTTGTTGATTATTTGAATTAGGAGACACACTAAATAATAGATGTTGACTAATTTGTTTACATTCACCACCATCATTTATTAGATATTAGAAAGGAGTTATACATGTTTTATATGATATACTTTTTCTTCCTTTTATCTTTCGATGTTTGAATTTTTCATCGAGAAAAACAAAATGATATGCTTCGTTCGGGAATCGAACCCAAGACATGATAGCTGGTTAACCGGACCAGTGCTCTTACCATTGAGCTAACGAAACACGACTAANAGCTGAGAACTGACCGTGGACAAGTCACTGATGGTCGTTTGTCTCTAATCACGCATCTGATAGCATTTTGAGAAACGAGATGGTGTGCATCTGCTTGTGGGAATAAAACGACACAAGCAAGTATATCCACAATCACACTCTACATCACTTCGACCATTCTATTCAGAGCTACAAGACACTAATGTAGCCGCAAGATAAGAGTATTCTTCCTTGAAAACTTTGTACAAGTAGATTTCAAATTATTCTTTTTCATACATTCTTCAAATAAGAAAATTCATTATGATTAATTAAAAAACCTTCTTGTTATCCAAATGTTGGTTTTTGTACAATATAAGAAAGAAGAAAAAAAATGCCCTAACAAAGAAATCAATAGGGCTTAATGATAGACAGAGCAAAAAAAAAGATGAATACGACAAATGAAAATAATGTATACATATATATATTTATCATATGTACAACAGGCATTCACAAAATGATATATATATATATGTATGCATAAAGAAAATTACAAAAAAAGAACAAGTTGTTTTGCTGAGACCAAAAAAGAGACAGATGAAAACAATATAAATGAATGACCAGATAAGATAAACATACATTTTTTTTTCGTCTTAATCTAATTGTTATGAATAGTTATCCTTTGTTTTTTGTTTTCTTTTCAGTATATAGACAAGAGAAATAATATAAAACACACACACGCATACAGGTTTCTGTACAAAAAAACTAGTTTAGATAAATAGATAATTAATCATAAACACCCGGTGCTGATGAAGGTAATCGAGGAAAATTATGTTCATCATTTGGAATATTAGATGATGGATGTGTAAAATTTTTTGCTGTTGTAGGACTTGTTGCTGGTGATGTTGATGATAATGGAACAGTTGCATTATCATTTGTTATTACATTAGCTGAATATGTTCTTCCAGATCCATCTTATTTAATAAGCAAAAAACACAAACAAGAAAACAATTGATAATTTTAAAAAATAATTTATTTTTACCAAACGAACTTCGTGTTTCATTTGTTGTTACAGTTTGTTGATTATTTGAATTAGGAGACATATTAAATAATAGATGTTGACTAATTTGTTTACATTCACCACCATCATTTATGTTCACTTCATAGACACAAACAACGCCATCATAACCAGCAACAAATAATTTTAATGTTTTATTTAATCTTAACAATAAGAAGAAAAAAGATCGAAACAAATATGAACATTAAATAAATCTTGTTTTATAATTACACATTCATAGCAATTGTTGTTTTCATGCCAGGTGATTGTAAATGTACAAAAGCAAATGAACGATCTTGTGTTAATACCTCAGATGTTTGTTTAGGTAAATAATGTGCAACATCACTTAATTTACGACCAAAATAACCCATCCATGTTGCTTCTTCAGGTGCTCTGAAAAAAAAACACAGAAAACAAAATTATTTATGAAATATTAAAAATAAACAATGTGATATTTACTTTTCTTTTGGATTTGCTAAACGAAATATATGAATTGTTTCTGTATTGCTTGATGCTGCTAAAAACATTGAATCAGGACTGAATGCTAATGAATATATAGTTGCAGCTCTAAATAAAATAACAAAGAACATTTTAGAAATTAATATAACGCATCGATGCTCAAATGTTTTGTATTAATATTTGTGCATAGAGAAAGTTAATATAACGGAACCTGAATGCAACATTTCGAGTAAGTCTTGATAAAAAAATAATTCAATGTATTCTGATTAGAGATGTGAGAGACTTAGTTTTTTAGTCCCGATCTTGATTTTGATTTACCAGAAAACGGTCCCACCTGTAATCCGTCATTTTGAATTCATATTGGATTTACAAGGAGGTAGCACGGTAAAGATAGAAAAAGTTTACAATGATTCATTTCTATCGACCTCTGCGACTGAGTTATAACCGTTTTACTAAGTTGTCGATCTGAAACTCAGCCTATTGGTTGGTCTAATAACTCTTAAAATATTCCAAAAGTTTCAACCGAAAAGAATGTTCCCTTGCTGAGATATCGAAATTCCAACAAATATTTGTTTGCCACTATAGCACGTGAACTTGGATCTGGTCGAGTTTGGATACGATAATGTTGGATCCAACAGACGACTATACTTGCCACATACATGTTACAAAAATCGAGTTTACTTAAAAACTCAATATCTTAACAAAGAAACATTTTTCTTTTCGTCGAAGACTTCCAGAATATTTCGAAAAGTGGTTAGGCCTATTTGTGAACAAAATTAACGGTGGAAAATTTATTAAAACTGTCATAACTTGGCTCTAGATGTCCATGAATACAAACTCTTTTAAACTTATCATAGTCTTACAAAGAATTACTTGTGAGCTCAAATGGCGAGTTAAAATTCGAGTAGTTCCTTCGTTAGAGAGCACTATTTTAGAATTTATGTGCATTCACATGCATGATAAGGTACTTTTACATAATGAGTGATGCAAAAGCTCCGGAAAAAATACCGCGCTTTATTTTTCATTGAATAAAGTAGAATTTGGAAAAACTAAGGATATTTATTCAAAACCTACGTTAAAAACTCTTGTGAACTGTCCCGAAACGATTATTTCAACCGTCGAAAATGGTGTATTACTGCATTAATTTTCATTATATTTCGCCGTAATTCTTCAGACTCGTGTTTTTTTCACGAACAGAGTGGTACTAGTCGTTTTTCCTACTATTTTCACCGTTTAATAAGCTTACAGAAAGCAACAACGTAAAGATGGAAATTTATATCGTTCACGGCACTATTTTCATCGATCTAGGATGTATTTAAAAAAATTCTTTCACATCTTGTTTTTGAGTATTGAGCAACTTTTCGGATTGCACACAAAATATGAATTTGAAAATAATGATGATTCTATCGGAGTTTTATGAAAACATAAAATAATGATTACGCTCAATCAGGAATACTGCAGATACAATGGATACGAAATCCGATGTAAAAAAAATAGCTAGAACACTTTTTGATTGATTTTTTTCTAGTATTATCTGTAACACTGTCTTAATATTTTTCGATATAGTCTCTCAACGATTGTATGGAGAGTTCGAAAGAGAAAAGATGAACACAATCAAATAGAATGAATACGATACGAGTCACAGAAACTTTTTACGGTAACCATTTCGAGTTATTTTTACAGAGCGCATGTTACTGCTGTTCGAACAAGTTTTCTATGTAGATTCCGCATAGATATTTTGATTTATTTTTTTTTGAAAGAATCCTTTAACTAATAAAAATAAATAGTGTCTTTATTTCAAGAACTTTTGCATCATCTGTACAAACTGAAATCTTATTGATATCTGCTTTCATCTTTGTGATAATTTTTCTCTATAGATATTTGCATACCGTCGTACTCCTCGGCGAAATTCAAAAAGTCGTGTACCATCAACAGCACTATGAACACGAATAACCGTTCCCTTGTGAGCAAAAAAAAACAGTTCATAACAGCAATATTTTCAAATAAATCAAATACTTTATTTGATGCTGTTGCTAATTTTGTTCCACTCATATCAAAAGCCATTGCAGCAAGTGGACTTTCATGAGCACTTATCATAATACCTGGTTTCTACATACATAAAGAAAAAAAGAACAAAATCAATAATCTAATGAATAACAAAAAAAAAAAGAAAAATTTCAACAAACTAGATTTAATGTATCAAAAACTTGTACTTCACCAGTTAGTGAACTACCCGGATAGGCTAAATAAGAATTATCGCTATTTGATGATAATGCACAAAGACCTTCACGATTTGATGGTACATCTCGAATTGTATGTAAAACTTTCATATCACGCATATTATGAATATAAATACTTTCTTCCAAACAAACGATAAGTCTCTAGAACACAAAAACAGAAAACGAAATATTTTCGCTCCGAATGTTTTTATAATATTAATTTACCAATCGATTAAGTTTAACAGCAAGTATTGTATTAGCAAATGAATATGAACATATTTCTGTTCCTTTTTTAAAATGACAAACTTTTAATTTACGTGGTGCTTGATTACTAACAAGTGCTGTTAATGAACTTGAAAATAGACGTTCAATTATACACACATCATCATAAGCTAAAATATATTTAAAAAATTTTTTAGTAATTTGAGAATAATTGAATGAAGTTATTAGATAATGTTATGTTATTTCAATTTCCTTTTTTTCCAACGTGCACAAGTTATTAATTACTGGATAATATTTCATTCTGATTTATAAAGAACTTAACAAGGAGATTAGTTTTCAAAGAAAATTTCATCAGTTTTTAATAAAGTCTCTTCAAGATATAAATCTTTTTTCATTCTTAGCGTATACAACATGCCGTTTTTTTTTGAAAGTTTCATATCTTGAAGAGACTTTTTTCATAACTTAAATTCGAAGCCTATAGGAAATAGATATCCTAAAAGTTCGATAGCTTAGTCAAATCTGAATATGAATTTAAATCCTTCTAGAGTTTCTATTAGAATACTGTTTTGTATCTATAGATTGAACAGTCATTAAGATTGAAAGAGGGTAACTAAGAAGGTGTTCTTGTTATCATTACTGGCAGCTACTTCTGTTTGAATGTTCTTCACGAACATCATTAGTCTTTTACTGTACAATGATCGACTTTGTAAAATAATATTTGAAACTGAAATTTTTGTAGAGAAACGATACAAACGAATATCTCGTCAAGTTGTACATAGTAAGTAGAGTATCAATGGAATAAATGTCTTTTTGCTACGAAGAGATTAAAAATGCATATCTACACTATAAAAAAGACTTTAGAGATCACTAAAAATCTAATCTTTTGAATAAGTACAACAAATTTTATATTGGATAAAATATTATGAAGTTTCCATTATCACCTTTTCATATCGATCAAAGTAATCAACAAATTATCTTTAAATTTCCATAGTTCCAAACAAAACTGAATTCTTCATTAAACTTACCACAATCATATATTTCATCAATCTTATTATCTGGACTAATAGTAAATAAAGCATAAGTTTTTCTTGTACCCATTGCTAATGATCTATTAATAAGCGTAATAATATTTTCTTAGTTGTAGAAATTTTCTAATAAAAAAAAAAATCAAACTTACGTGCAATCTTGATTAAATGTTAATGTAAGAACCTTATATTGCGATAGAACATCATTGTCTGTTGAACCATCATTACTACCTCCTGCAATACCACCACTCGCTCCACCACTAGATCTATTCACTAGTGTACTCATAATATCCTTTTTTTTTCTCACTTTTTTAAGAAAAAAAATCCAATTAGTAATAAAACATATTAATCTGGAATAAAAAAAAAAACAAAAAAAACAAACAAAGACAAATTAACATTAAAATTGTTATTTTGTATTTTTGTTTTAATCTAGATTGGCATTTGTTTTTTATTTTGCTGGTTTCAATATATATGAGATAGAAATAAATAAACATGAAAGAAAAATTTCATATGGAAATAATGGGATAAAACTAAGAACCTTTTTCACATGAACATATTTCACATGTCCGAGATGAACCATCATTAATAAAAGTACATCGTGGACAATTCCATTGAGATAATGATGATGCTAAATCACGTTGATCTTCATAATCCATATGCGATGATCGATTACCTGCTGTTGTTGTTGGACCAGGACCTTAGAAAAAAAAAGCACGAAATAATAAATTAAATATATGTTTAACAATTGAAATATTTGACTCTTACTATGTGTTTGTAGAACTTGAACTATTGTTTGCCAATCGGAACCTTCCATCCAAGTTTCAACACCATTGAGATCATTAGTACGTATAGAATCAAGTAATGGATCGAGTTGATTCTAAAAAAAAAACAAAATCAATAATAAGAGAATAAAACTTTATGAAGGAAGATTCTCAAGTGTAAATCTGTGTTTTCAATCGACTTTATGTCAGTTGACAGAGCTCGATAAGCTGATTGCAATGCTTTAATGTGTTCTTTCCCACAAAATATTTTTGATGAGTTTGTTTGATTTAAATCTCAAATAAATGCGAAAACCTCGGATTTAAATCCGAGTGTTATGTGTACTGCGAAAAGTGAAGAGATATATTCACTGTTTTCTATCAACTGAGCCATATTTAGTCTATTTGCTTTTTGCATGCAGTTTTTCTGCATTTTGAGACATTTTTCATGGGATGTTTTGTTAGAAAGCTACGATTTGGTTCAAAACTAATATCAGATTCGGAATCAGCGTTAAAAACTGAGTCGATTTATATATGTTGTGAATAATTCTGAGAAAAAATTTTTTTTTTGAAAAAATCCCTGTACCCCCCCTCAGGGATGGTCTTCTCAATAATGACAATTTTTTCGATAACTCAGCCATTTCTTGACGGATCCTGCTCATCTTCGAACTCGACCGAGACATTGTTAAGACTGAACTGTGTAGAAAATTTCATCGCGATTGGACTCTCCTTTCAAAAGTTAT